TTATTTTTATAATTTTTTTATACAGCAAAATCAAATTGTTATTTTCTAAACATAGTCTATATAAGATTATTTATTTGTAAGAAAAGGATAAGGTCTAATTTTATAGTAAGAAATAATAACTTTGTAATATAAAGTCATATTTAAAAATATAATTAAATATTACTAATATTTTTATCTATTTAACATTATTTTTTTAAAAAAAAATAAATTTTATGTGGATTATAGAAATTTAAAAGTTCATATGAGAATAAGACAAGCCTTTATGCTAAGCCTTTATGCTCTTTTAGAATATCCTTTATATCAATTGTGAGCCTTGATGAGGTTAAAATCCTTGACCTTTACAATCAAATTATCCTTAAAATAAATCTCAATTATCAATTTTTATATCTTTATATTTTAATTTATCATAAATTCTTTGTATTGACTATAATTTTTGTGTTTTTAGAGTGATTAGAGATGTAAAAGAGTTACTTATACAAATATTAATCTTGTATTATTTATTAAATTTAGATCTAATAAAAAAATATGTCTTTTTTTAATGTAAATTTTTGTAGTTGGCTTTTTTTTTTTTTTTTTTTTTTTTTCGCCTTTCATCAATCTTGATAATCAATCCACTAAATAATAGCAATATCTAAGTAAAGCTACGTAGTAATTTAGATTGAAGGGTGAATTTTACATTTAAAAACCATTTCATTATTTAAAAAATAATAATAGTAAAATAATTATTAAAATTATATGTGTGTGTATATATATATATATATATATATATATAGATTTAAAGTTTTAAACAAGCTTTTATAAAAGAAATTGTATTTTTAATTTAGAAGTAAGAATTTTTAGTTTAAAAATATGCCAAAACACTGTTGTATTTAGTATTTAGTTTAGAGTTTAAGTAACAACAAAGTAATGGTTATTTTTGTTATATCACATTAAGGTAAATAAGATTTGAAGAAGTAAAATCAAACAAATAAACTAACAAAAAAAATTAGTTTCAATTAAATATGTATTGATATCTTTTATAGATTTAATGATTTTTTAAAAATTCAACAAATATATATATATATATATATATATATATATATATATATATTTTGTAATTATTTTATGCAAAACATGAAGAGATCATAAATAGTATTTTTTTAATTTTAATGAATACTACTAGTAAATTTTGTTGTTAAAAATTAACACTAAAAATTTATCATATTTCATAATATTTAATATGATCAATTGTTAGTCATATATAATCATAATGATCTCTTAGCTTTAAAAACATAATGCATAAATCAATTGAAAAAAGACAAGATTATATATATATATATATATATATATTTTAAGAAATGTTAAATTAGAATCTTAAAAAATTATGCATATATATATATATATATATATATATATATATATTAATACGTTTATCAAAATTGAATTTATTTTATAATTGTGAACTGTTTTAGTGTCAATTAATAATAAAATATTTATTAAAAGATATTATTAAGAATATTATTAGTATTAGTATTAGTATTATTCAATAAGAATGTAGATATCTTAATTAAATATCACATTTATTAGAATATAATTATTTTCTAAAATAATTTACAGACATTGATACAATTAAATTATAATTTATTTCCATATAAATTTAATCCATCTATAAATCATGAATAATAATAAAAAAATACTTTCATATTAATTTAAATTAGTTAACAGTAGTAAGTAATCAATTTTATTTCATTTATTATTTTTCTTTATATTTAAAGGACACTTATGATTTCTTTTTCTTTTTCTTTTCACCATTGTTAACACCAAAAGGAAGATTAAATCCACTATTTGAATGAGTTAATAATTTCAACAAGCAATTGTTTCTTACAAAAGGCACCACATGTCAACTTGGAACTAAAAATTACTTTTAGCCATAGTGGGATCACAATCCAAAAAATAATAATGAACTGATTTGGGTGGTTGGTATCAGGTGCAATACTCAGTTCTTTTCAAAGGCTGCTCATAAACTTTAATTAGACTTGGTGCAGTGAATTTAGTAATTCCTTCTTAGCTTCTTTCAATAACATTTTGTAAATCCTACAAATATGAAGTTGACGAAAACGGGAGTGAATGACGAGCCGTTGACGATAGATGATTTGTTTTAAAAGCGGTGTTAAAATAAGTCGTGTATAAGGTTTATCGCACATCTATTAAAAATTGATATTGGTAGTTGAAAATATACACATAATTCATTTCTTTCTCCCAAACATGGGCTTTGTCATTTGCAAACATAATAGTGCTATGTATTTTTATAGTTATTTTTATTTACTTTTTAAAGATATTATTTTAGCTACATCCAATATATATTACAGCAGAAAAAAATGTAAGGAATTTGGCGGTTTAAATCGAGTATTTGGTTACAAAGCATACGAAATTTTCAGTAAATGACATGTTTTTTGGAAACCTTAAATGACAGATTGAAATGACACATTGAAAGGAGTCTTCACATATTAAAGCTTATGCTTATAAGAACACAGAACTTTACTTGCAGATTTCGATTTATGATTTTTGGAAGTACTAAGTCAATAAGTTTTTTAAAAACATTATAGAACATCATGTTGTATCCTTTGATTCTTTTGGCAAGATTAATATTTCCAAGATCCAGACATGAATGTACATCTTTTAGCTTCAAATCACATACTAAAGTGAAATTGTGATCTGTGAACAGTGACAAAACCACTCCATTCCATTCACATTACTCCTTCAAAAATGCCATCTTCCAACATGACCTGTAGCAAGCAGTCTCTTCTGCAAACCAATAATCCCATTAGCACCTCAAATCCTAGAAAGCTCATTCACTTAACATGAGCACACATATCAACGTCGAGATCAACATGTTTCAAGTTTTGAAAGGATCTACTAAATATCATATACACAACTTACATGATGACCGATTCACCGTTTTCGGATACATCTGAGATATGTACCAAGGTCGAGCTCTAGTTTGTAAATCCTAGAAAACTGTCTACTGCCTGAGATTGGGACTCAGTTGAGTGAAGAAGAAAACATCTATTTCCATGTTCTCGATGTTAGGGTGGTGAGGGCAAAAGGAAACGAAAAATATGTGCATATCTGAGAAATCAGGAAGCTGGATGCGCAGCGCCGGCCCCAGTGACAGCGAGCTTGGCCACTTTGATCACAGAAATTCCCGCTTCCTTGTCTGCCATTTCTTCAGCAGGGTCCACGTAGTTAGGGTCATGCTCGTCCATCGCAGCAGGGATGCTCTCCGCATAATCTTCGTCCTTGAATGGACCGTCGACGGTGAACTTGCCGCCGTGCCCATGTTTTTTCACAGCGAGCTTGTTCGGGTGCTCGGAACGCCGATCCAAACGCTCGATGCCTTTCTTCAGGTTTTGCTGATGCGCATGGTCTTCCCAGCCTTTCCCTGGGGTTGGAAACAGCTCAGGGTTCTCCTCTCTGATCACGTTGGTGTCTGCCATGATTTAACACAACGCCGAGCAACGCAGCGCCACCAAACAGAAACTGACAGAGCTCTGGAACGCACCTAATCCAGAAGTAAGACAAACCACAATGCAGCAAATAAACTGTTAAACAAAACAATGCCGCTGAAAATGCCTCTACAGATAATTAAGCCTCTTTTCCTCACTTCCACGAAAGCGTAGACTACCAGTTGAAACTCCACAATCAACTAAAAGCACCCTCGAAGAATCAAATCTCCACAGAGCGTCTCAATTTCGAGCACAAAAACACCACTATCATCTGCACACGGATCTTAACCGCAAACTGATGAAACCAAATGAGACCGCAACGGAATGGTGCTTAAAAAACCAACTTACCGAGGCAAAAAAATAAAATAAAATAACGCCGAGAAAATGGTATCAACAGACAGCTACAAGAAGTTGTGAGAGCCGCATTAGAGATGATGCAAAGAGTGAGAAAATAGGGTGGAATCAGGGGGCAGGAGACGGGGTCTTTGAAGGGGGGCCGAGGCCATACTTCGACTGCGTTGTTGCAAAAGGAAAGGTTGGTGGCCAGAGACAAGCGAGACACTTGCCTCCGTGGACAAATGCCACATGGACCTTGCCGACGTGGCGTACTAGGGGTCAGTGATAGGCGCTGATGCACAGATAGAGGGAGCGTGGAAAGTTTGGGGGGGGGGTGAAGTGAAGCTTATACTGGAGTAGCTTTGGGTGGGTTTGTTAACCTTTGCCCTTTTGGGTGTAAGAGTTTCCTATGACATTTACTCATGATATGAAAATGATATTTTGTTTATTTATTTCTATTTGTGTAGGCACTTGCATACATTTTAGTGTTTATTTGATATTCCAAGACATAGAAGCCTTAGTTCTTTTGATGCAAAGTTTTCTAATAGGAAGGCATGCTTGTAATGTCTTAAAACCAAAGCTTGAGCAGCTCTCTCAAACCAATCCTTAGGAACTGGTTTGTACAATTTAAGATTTGATTGTTTTCAATGCATCATATCTTTACTTTATACATGTGATCTTGCTCCCTAAATAATCATTGAACGCAAATTTTAACAAAAATATATTTTCATATGCTTGCATCAACCTAAAATTTTATTATCTAAAATTAATTCTCAAAATAAGATATATGTTATTATCTTCTTTATTGCTCATCATTAATTTTAGAACAAGGATAGAGCATGGTCAAAAGGGCCTCTGTAAAATTTGGAGTTGCACCAAGAATTAAGATCTAACTTTTTTGGACTATGCAATAGCAATGTTTTTTGAAAGATTTTGTAGCGACACAATAGTTGGTATAGTGTTTAGATTTTTTAGGAGAATAAATACCCCACTCTAATCAAATTTGTAATTTTTAGAGATTATTTTAATCTACAAAATGGTTATAATAAGATCAAGTAGTATATCCAATAAAGCTAAAATGACTTCAAAACCAAACAATTGTTTGAGCAAAAATTTATTATAGCCCATAATTGTATAAAGTGATATTATTAAAAATACTAAAAAAATAGATAATGATGTCTATCAAACAGTAAGACTAAGTAGTAGAGCAAAAACCAATTACAAGAGTATAGAACTCAAAAAGAATACCACCAAGAGTTGATAATATGCACGTAAGCAACCAAAGCTCCCATTTCTAATAATTATATTCCATATACATTTTCCTCCCTTCTTAGTAGCATGCGATAGTTAAAAAAGAAGCATCAGCAACTTGGACATGCCATCATGATCCATGGAAGATTTTTATCCCAGTTCAACAACCTTGAGACAAGAAATAGAAACATCCATAGAGTAATCCAATAAACACAGAAAATTGAGGGATATTTTATCTATTTCTTTTGTTTGATCATTGATTATAGAAATATGAGACATGATGCCATCCAAATTATAATTCCAATAAAATGTGAAGATCTATAATAATACCAAAGATAAGGCACCACAAACTATACAAGATAGCCATCTAGACAAGGCTTTGTAGTATCCCAATCATTCTACAAAAGACAATCCAATTTAGGCAAAACAACCTTTGGATCTAATTCTTTAATATCCTCACTGAACTACTTCAAAAGCTCCAATAATTATGAGCTAGACACCATAGCATTATCTTTTTCAAAATAAATATTATTAAATACTAAACAACTTCTAAAACAAGATGGGATGTTATAGAGCAATATATGCAAACTTACTCACACCTATCACTAGTATGTAAATATCAATAGAGAATAAACTTAGAAAGATATTAAATAAGCTATGTCCAAATATCAAGACACTCTTAAAAGTATGCAACATTGATGTATACATGATAAAAGAAATGTAAATTAAGAAAATTAGTACAAAAAATATTTCACTTTTTATTACTACTATCTAGGTGCTTTAAGAAGAGACAGTACCCATAACCAATTAGATGTTGATCGGCTATATGAAACAAAATCCATGGCCTAGAATCCTCTGTAATTGAATAAAATATGCACTTCATAGCTCATTTTAAATACTCACTATGTTAGAAAGAAGCTTCTTTATAGTAGTCATCATAGACAATAAGATACAATAATAGATATTAGCAAAATAATAATAAATCAAATAGATAAAAATATTTTTTATTCTTTAGAAAGCCAAGTTTAATCCAAAAGTAAGAAACTATCCAAGATACACTATACGAGAGACTAAACAAGAATTTGAGTAAAAGAATTTCAACAAGAAATCTAGCAAAAACTTAATCAAATTAAATGAGTCAAGATCAACATCAAGAAAGGTGAGCTAAAGTTCAAAGAAATGTATTGTTAAGATTGAGAATTCCTTCAACTTCCACTTTAATATATACTAAGTATTATAAAGCTTCTCAAGAAGATTCTATGTCAATTGAAGATGAAGTAATCTTAGGAAGCTTCTTAAATAACTACGTTAAACATCCTAAAACTTTCTAAAATCTATTAAAATATTCCAAAAATCTCCTAAAATATTTTAAAAATCTTTTAAAACATAATAAAATATTCTAAGAATATTCTTAAAATCTTCATGTTGAATGCCAGTCACATCACCTCTCTTTCTAATTCTAAATTCTATGAGAATCATTGATTTCATATTTTCTCTCTTTATTATATACAACATCTAATCAATAGCTTCATAGAAAAGTTATTTTAAAATAGGTATAAGTTTTTGAAGATAGCATCAATGAAATTCTTGTATCTTTTGTAGTATATTAACTAGATTTTTTGCTATTTTTCACATCTATTCATTGATATTATAACCTTACCAATAAAAAAAATACTCCAACTTGCCTCTTCTTTGCCAAGAACAAATATTTTATACTTCATATTTTATATAATTATTTATTTCTATGTAAGGTAGTAATGATTATATACTTAGTAGATTAAGTGATTCTAAATAAGTCTCAATGAAAGAAATATGAAAGATTAGATGTACTTTCATAGATGTTTGTAGTTCCAACCAGAAAACTACTAGATTAATTTTTTTTTGAATATAAAATAGCTTAATCTTTGATAGTTTAACTTATTGCAATGCTCATTGTTTTTAATATTTTTTTGAAGAAGTTATACTTTATCTTTAACTCAAAAAATAAAAAAATATTTTCTAAATTTATTTGAAGATTATTTGTAAGAAACTTGAGCTTCTTCTAAATAGAGCTTCAAAGTTGTATAGAGTTGTAATAATTGATTTGCAAGATCTTAATCTGTTAGGTTTTTTATCCTTTGATATACCTAACAAATCAAACTTTTAATTGTAACCATAATTGGTATAAAATGGTATTTATTGAGTCAAAGCATGAAAGATATTATTATAATCAAATTTTGCAAAAAATAAATACGAGTCCAATCATCTTATTGATAGTTGATGGTATATTGCAAATACTACTCTAAAATTTAATTGACTTATTTTTTTTGACCATCAAATTAAAAGTAGAAGGTAATAAAAAAAATTGATATCCACCTTCAATATTTTGAAAAAGAGATTTCTAAAACTTTGATATAAATTGAAGTCCTTAATAAAAACAAATGATGCTATTAAATAATCCTTGATATTGATATATATTATTAAGAAAAAATCTTGTCATTTCTTTTCTAAAATTTTTTTTTTTTGCATGGAATAAAATGTGCCATCTGTGTAAGTCAATCCACAATAATATAGATAATATCAAATATAATTAATGGTGATAGATCAATAATAAAATCCTTTGATATTGAAGACCATGGTTGCTTTAAAATTGGCAATGGTTGTCAAAGTCCATAAAGACAATGTCCAAAATTCTTGGATCTTAAACAAATGTCACACAAGAAAAAAAAAAACTTTTACAGTCTTCTATATTTGAAGCCACCAAAGATCTTGAAAGATAAGCTCTAACATTTTGTTAAACCCAAAATGTCTTGCAATTGAGAAATCATAACAAAATTGAAGAACACAAAGTTACGTCAATCTTTTTAGAATATATAAAAAATCTTCAAAATATGGAAGATCTTCTATAAACTTGAACTTATTGTTGTTGGGACAGTAATTGATATTACAAATTAATAAATCTTTAGGTGATGTTGTACAAATTTATTCAAAAAAACTTGAATTAATATATATAATAATATAAATAATAAAAAGATAAACTTATTTTAGCTTCAAGAGTATTACATATTGTTGATCAAATACTGCTTTTTTAGCTTTTGGAACAAGTTATAATCGCTTTGATAAAATATCTAATAGTCTTTGCTATTTTTTTAATTAATATATAATTATAAAATAAAAATAAGATAATGACATATTCTAATTATTTTTGTGGCAATTCAAAACTTGAGTTGATATAAAATTTTTCATTTTTTTTTTTATTTATATATACAATCACATGATGTATAATGCTTTTAGTAAGTAATGCCATTCTTAGAAAGAGTCTATAATTATAAGAAGTTTTTTATTATAAATTTTATAATTAGTTTTCATAATTGTTTTTTAAAAAAAAATATAATACAATTAGATAGAACTTTCTATCTTTTTCCATTTTTAATAGTACAACTTTTAATACAAAGTCAAAAGCATTAATTTTTGAATAAAAAACTTTCATAAAATCTAAAAATATTAAAATTGCAACTATAATAAAAGTTGTCTTTAAATTTTGAAAAGCCTTATGTGCTTGAAGTCTCCATTCTAATTTATCTATGGATGTCAATCAAGTAAAAAGAGTAGCAACTTAGAAATAATTCTTGATAAATATCCAATAAAATTAAAAAATTCAAAGAAATATTATATATTTCATATTTTCTTTGATCTATTATAGCTTGAGCTTTCTTTAAGTCCATTAATAGGCCTTCATTGGATATAATATATTTGAAAAATTCTACTTTTGGTTGATGGAATACACATTTTTTTAATTTGGTATATAATCCTATATCTTATAACTTTTCAAGACTAATCTCACATCTTCTTCAATTTCTTGAGGAATCTTGAGATAGATTAAGATATCACTAAGATAACAAATAATAAACTTATCTAAGAATTTTTAAAAAAACATCATTCAT